TGTATTACTGAAGTTTATACACTCATTCTCAAATTGACATTTACCACACTATAATGTTTATTCATTTCTTTAGCATTATGTGAAAGAAAAATAATTACTTTATGCACCAACAAATATTGGATGAATTTTACAAATTTATATTCATAATTTTAAATAAAAAAGGACTTGATAAGTGAAGTTAAAGATTTCACACTCACATATACATCAAATTTTATGAAATCAAATTGTTCAAAGAACTCTATTCAACAAAAAATGTTGTGGGGTCCTTTTCTCTCAGACGATCAAGAACATTTGTAGGCAAGATGCAACCTTTCTAGGGTTAATAGCGAAAAACCAGCTTGAGAAATTCAAACATTGTGCATTTTTTGTGTAGGTCTATCAGAGTTCCACAGGACCACGTATAAATTCCAGTCATCCTTCCATTCGTTGCCTGCCTGATTGCAACAAAACTCTCAAAACTACACACCTTATTTCTCACCAGCCTTAGCCACTACTCACCAGCTCTCTTATCTCTATTCATTATATATTTGTTAATCCTCATCCTCATAATGTACTTCACATATCCTAGCAATCTCATATAGATTAAACCTTCAGCATGGTATAGACAGCAGACTACAGCCATCAACAGCATGATGGCTGTAGCCTGATGGCAATTTCTTCTAAACGCTGTATGCCACGTCTGGACAGTTTGGATTTTCCTTTCCATTTGTAGTAAGCCATCACAGGGCGGAAGGAACCTTTACCTGTTTTTCCTCACATTTGGTGTGTGCTGTCTACAGAAGCTGGTCACTTGGCAGTGTAGTGCAAAGTCAAGCAGTGTGTTACGCCATGTATTCTGTTTCAATTTGTGTGTTTTTTTATACAAATATTTTAATATGGATTAACGTGATTCTATTTCTATTTCTTTGTGGGTGTTTTTTATATAAACAATTATTTTACAGTTCATAGTCTTCTATGTACTATGCATCATATTAAATTATTGCACCTGTGAGACATGCTATAAATAAAACAACAGAAATTGCTTTAAATATAATACAGCCATTGCTAATTTAGGGCCACACTTTATGAATGAGGTATTACTACAAATCCCAGTCATCAACTACGATGTTTAAAAAAATTAGAGCAGACTGTGTAGAAACATTATGTCTGATCAGAAAAAATTTTCCAAAACTATTGTGGGAAAATAAATTGAAGCGAGGTGAGTATATCGCCCAACTCTTGGGCCCGTTTTAATTTTGAAATGGATGGATGATTTCAAAACAGTCATTACAAAGAGAAAAGAAGAAATTTAAAAACGCCATGCCCCCTTGATTACAATAAATCTATGGGAGAGATAGATCTGAAAGATAAGTATTTGTAAACATACCTTATTGGAAGGAAGAAAAGCAAGAAATGGAATATGAAAATGTTCAGAAGGTTATTAAATGTCACTGTGTTGAATACATTTATTATTTGGAAAACTAATCATACTGGGACGAAAATCAATTCTTTAAAATTTTGTATTGATCTGGGCGAGCAATTGTAATCTGCTCATTCACATGACAAAAGAGCAGTACGTGGACATCATTTGGAGAGTGATTTACATCGCTTGTCAGGAAGAAACTTCCTTGAAAGAATTGCACCTCAAGGCAACAAAATTAAACAACAGAAACGATGTGTGGTAGTCACGAGAATGCAAGATGTCAAGAGCCTACATTTCCAGATTGAAAGTTGGACTTTGCCCTGAGACTTATTTTGAAAGCTATCAAACAATAAAAAATTTTTAGAAGTATCTATAAAGAAAATTATTGTACTTTATTTTTAATTACATTTTTACAATTTTATTTTTTATTATTTTCTATTGTTAATAAACGTAGGTGTAAATGAATGAAACTGTTGTGCATTTAGTTTCATTTTTCATCTTTAATTTTCATTCTATCATGAGTTATCATCATCATCATCGTCGTCGTCATCATCGTCATTATCGTCGTCATCATCATCATCATCATCATCATCATCATCATCATCATCATTATTATTATTATTATTATTATTTATGTGAAGCAACGAATTCTTAAAGTAGCTTTGAAACTTTTCCTACAACGGACTTCATTCCAGGGCCATATTTAAGGGTTGGTAAGGTGGGTGGCGGCTCAAAGACCCATCAAATACAAAAAGTGTATTAAAATTGTGGCTTTTAACAAAAATTATACGATGTAAATCAAATTCATACATTTTTTTTCTCATTTGAATACCCCATTTGCATTCACACATAATTGTGTTTGCTACAACACAAAATTAAAGATATATTTAATACTTTTACTATTTTTTGTATTACCAATTCACAACACTACAAACTAACAACATTTTTTTTAATTTAGAATTTAATCAATGCAATGTTTTTATAACGATTCAATTTATAAATAATTTTAAAAACAATTTCTAAACACAGTTCAAACAGTCTGTACAGCATTTCGTGAACTTTTGTGTGACAATTTTCCTTCACAGCATTGTTACATTCTCAATATTACGACCTGACGGAATTGCTTTCAAAAAACATGGAACCTATAAGCATAATGTGAATTTTTACATTAAAAGTTCAATGAAACTATGCTTTTAACATATGAAATTTTATTCCAGTAGTTTTACTTTTGTATTATTATTAATATTTTTTTTTCATATTTTAGATCAAACTTCTGTTTTAATTTTGAATTGCACATCAAAAATAGTTCATCCAGATGGCATATGTCACACCCCCAATAGGTAGGTAGGTCTGATGACCATCTGGTTTATATGGACTGCAATGTAGTCACTGCATCATATGCATTGAGTTGCTCTGATGCATGTCTGCTAACATACCGCTGACTTTGACAAGATGTTGCACAACATTCCAATAGTTGAGTCAAATCTCAAGATTTGCATGAAGAATTGTGCTACTTAGAATCTATGCAGATTTGTGGAAGGACATACTTGAAAGAATAAATACTACAAATAATCTCTTTCCAGTTCATAGCTTGATTTGAATGCCGGTGTTGCATCTCTAGTCACCGATAGATTACATCGGAGAGGAGCACAACAATTTTTCGCACAAGCAGTCAGGAATGGGGGGGAGGGGGACTTTTAAGTTTTAAAGCTGCAGGATATGTCATCAAAATTGTCACTAAATCCCAATGGACTACAGACATTTACTAGACATTGACCTGTCACCATTGCGAAGATTTTACATTGAAAATTACCTTCCAGTTATTGATCAGTTCATAACATTTTGGATCAATGGGTTTCAGCTATTCATCTCCACACATTTTGTTTTCTTGGCTGGACTTGAGCATTTGTAACCAGAAGAATTAAAGGAATAAGCAAAACTTAACTCAAATTTACAACAACAAAAAGTCAACAAAAATCTTGGGATTGAGCTCGTTCCATATGAGAAATTTCACATACACTTTATTGCAGAAAATGGACATTGCTGCTGAGAACTTTATTTGTTCAGTTTAGTAATACTAAACTCACTACTTTTATAAACTTGGAAGTTTTAATCAGTGGTTGTTTATATAAAACATAACTGAAGAAAAAATTGTTATGCTGTTTTTTCAGGTTAAATGTATTTGCCAAGTGGACTATTAAACTAAAACTAGTATGAGAAGGTCTGCACCATTTAGTAGCACTACTAGTTTAAAATTTGTTTTTTATTATTCCTTTTGAATTAAAATGTCCTGACCTGGACAAAGAGGTTGCTCTCAGAGAACACTTTCAAATAATACAAAAATCAATAGGATAAGATGTAGGTAGTTTTATATTGACAAGTTGTAAGAATTGAATAGCAGCTGTGTGTAAGCAAGTTTCACAGAGAACCAGCAGTGCTGCTGTGTCTGCCACAACCCTGACCGGGAAGTCACAGAGTTCGCGTCCCGACAGTAGTGGATTTTCAACACAAGCTAGGTAGCTGGGTTGAATTCTGACAATGATAGAAGAGGAAATCCAGCTGCCCTGAACCTAGTTTTCTGTGGTGTCTCTGATCAATACCAAGTGAATACCAAAGTAGTACCTTATAAAATGGATAATGTCCACGCAATATTCCTTCTTCATTCTTATGCCCTCCTCTTCCCTTACACATTCACACGCCCTTACATTTACGTGTAGAACCCTATCATTCATACAAGGAAATCAGCTTGGAGCTTAGCTTGCCACAACTGGGGCAGTGCTCTGCAGGGGGAAACATCTTGAGAGGGAGATCCCCAGCAAGACAAGTGTTGGTAAGAGCCAGCTATCACCATCCAGTGGCGAAGAAATCACCACCACCACATTCCAGGATAAAATATTCACTGCACTAAGGGGACAATTGATCACAGCATATGATTCGACCCAGTGTTTCGTTCTATTTTCATAAAGATTGTGAAGCACATATGAGCATGTTAACTACTGTCACATTTATTGATCTTAATAACGCGCATAGTTATTCCAGAACAAACTAATATGTATCCGTTTTGATTCATACAATTTAAGTATATAATTTAGTTACTTTTATTAGTATTTAGTTTTTATGTCCTCACAGTGCATGCTTATTAGAGGCTTGCAACCTGGCATCATCACTCCCCTACACTTAAGTGTCAATTACCACCTTTTAATCGAATATGCAAAAAATATGCGTAATCTTTGCACTAAATTTTTAAAAATTTGATCATGAAGAATAACTTCAATGTGTTGCTTTTATTTAAAGAATTGCTTTGTAAAAATAATCTAATTATTCTATTATAATTAATTAACAACTGCCATACAAGACCCAGTTAAGATATAGCTCCTGCTGGGACCTCCTAATGTGCAGAAGCGCAACGTTCATATTTCAGACACCAAATAACGTTTCACACATCTGTTTTGATAAATAGCTAATTTTGATTACAGTCAACCAAGAGCTATGCAAGTTGTCAACATTTTTCATTCTTTTTACACTCCGGAAGAAATGGGTTAAAGATTTTAATTTTTTGTTAGTCAAAAGTTGTAAAATAGAGCATCAAGTTTTATACCTCGGTAAATACTGGAGAAGCAGAGGACCATGACAGACAAGGAACCAATACAAGTGGTTTGGGCCAATTTGTAGCAGCTAATGATGCCATCTAGAATAAGAATAAAAAATTACAGTAAAATCATTAAAGGAATAATTGGAAATTAACTATAATGTAGGCTAGGAAACTTGAGTTACGACGTACCTGAGAACATTTAGAGCACTATAATAAAAAGATTTATATTTTTTCACATTACATTGGTTGTCAACTCAAGTCGTATTTAAAATCAACATTTTTGACTTGCTTTTGAGAGTTTTCATCAGAAATCTAAGTGTAAAATAAAAGATGAAAATAAATATGAAACATAAATGTAACCTTACATTAGGGACAAAACAACAATTATCGCACTGCAGACATTGATGTAATGACAAACATTGAAGGAAGTCACATGCGAATGAGAGATTTCCTTTCAGAAGAATTCAGCCATTCACATGTGCTGTCTCAAACAATTCCATGTAAATATACACATTTTTATTTTAACTTTCTAATGTTCTCAGGTAAGAATGCCAAACTCAACAGTCAATATCCTAGGATAAGAGTTTTCATTGAAATCGCAAATAGAAATATCTTTGTTTCTATGTAATTAGACATTAAATACACAAATCAGAACAATTTCTGCTTATATTGCATTCTAAATTAATTAAATGTACTTGCATGTCCACCCATAGATAAACCAGATATACCAAGGGGTCCAAAACCATTTCGCTCACACCAATGAAAAAGAGCAAGCGATTCCAGAATAAGGCAACCACCCATAACAAATATATCTGTAACATTGTGAAGGCTGGATCGTCTGAAATCGAATAATAGTCAGACTACAACATTTACAAATTTTAATTGTCTTCTGTTAAAACATGTTGATGCTAAGCAAACACCGCAAGTAAATAAATGAATGTATAATTATCAGTTTTAAGAATATTGAATAAAAGCTCAACAAGCAAGATAGTAACATTAAATACATACACTTGATCTTTGGGTTTTCGTAATCCATAAAATGGGTTTTCCAATAACAACGCACCAATTCCTGCAGATTTTAGTAAAGGTTTGGCCATGATTTGCCTCCTCCTCCAGAATCCCTAAAAAGTATTTCTTTCAACACAATTGTACATTGCTGATTATTTGTACTACAGAGGAATATCATTACAGAGGTAACTACATGATCACCCGTTCCAGCAAGATGTAGGCAAATAGGTTTATAATGCTCAGAATTCCATTTTTTGGGCAATATAACTTGGAAATGTGCCGTTTCTGACTCTTTGGGAAGTAAACCTGGGAGATGTTTCACAAATGGGGAAGTAAATTGTCCCTGTAAAATCTTGCAATCTGAATGAACTTCTTCCTAGAAAACATAGAAAGTTAGGCAATATTTACTTCGCTGAATAAATACAATTTTCAAACAATTGGGCTTATGGGAAATAATGCTCACCTTAACAATCGATACAGGATAATCATTTGGAACTAATTTGTAGCAAGTTTCTCGTTTACACACAATTCTTCTGAATGCAAACAACCTAAAATACATATAATCTGTACGTAATATACTGTGCATTTACCTCCTATAACAACTAAATGAGCACTTTCTAATACCTTTTCAAATTGTCCGGTTTTCCCCAACCTTTCGTGAAGAATTTTGTCATCAAAATCCTTCGGTAAACGTGGTCAAGTTTGCTACCTGTCGGCATTTCAAACACATGCGATCAACACTCCATCGAATCGTAAAAGAGTCAGCAATCTATTTACAGAAAGTGGCTGTATGTTAGGTAAACAGGGCCATATATTCACAGTATTTGTCAACTGCACAACCTTGTCAAAGTCAAACTTTAAGATCGCAAAATCCAAAGAATATTATATGCGAACATTGTGATTGCGAACCATCGTGACCTAGGGCCAAAGATGGTGCATTGAGACATCATCACCACTTTATGGTGATGAAATGATAATAATCACATTACGAGTCTTTTCATGTGCCCATTGCGGTTGTGCATAAACCTGTTTCTTTCCGATTGTCACTTAACAATGCTCTCGCATAAAAGCAAATATAACATCAATTAAACATCGATCCCATGAATGCCGGTCTCATGAATTTTAACCAAATAAAAATAAGACAAAAAGCAAGCAAACAAACAAATCTGTCGTGTGCCTGGTTACCTAATATAAGTTTCAAACTTTACAATTTTCGAAAATTCAGAGTTAATAATGAAAATCCTATGATCTACGTCACATTTATAAGTGTATTTCTATTCTTGTAAGAAATTTTAAGAACAAATTTGGAGACATTTTAGAGAAAAGTTTGAAAATGCTCCAGCGTTTCACGTAAAGCACCCCTAAATTTTAAAGAACGTTTTTCAAAACCGCAAAGCTTCGAGTCGAGCCAGATCGACCGGAATATATCCATTTTGGAAAAATCCTACTTAGTATGGTTTAGGCACTAGTGGTCTTCTCAGACGAACGGACAGGCAGACGTACATTTTGAAGGAGAAAAAAGAAAAGGAAAACACTTTTTCGGTTTCAGGGGACCGCAAAACATGTATTTCCCTTGAAATCTCGAAATCGATTTTCCGCAGTATTACATAACTTTCTCTAGTTTATTATTCCGTACATAGAGTACTCCCGTTACAAAAATACCCCACATTCTACGCTGACTTTTATGAAGATTTTTTTTTTTTTTTTTTTTTCCCCTTTCGAAAAATAGTTGTCGTTAACAAAGAGTATATTAGTGGTCGTTAAGAAAATTAAGTTTAAATGTTACTTCCTGGCGCGCAATTCAAACAACCCGCAGCGTCACCGTGGCGCACAATGATCTGAACGGGGCCGAAACGTGCGCAGATGATATTACGAAATGAACTAACTAGTTACTTAGTTATTTTAAAACGGTTCGTTGAGTACAAATCTAAAAGTATAATATTCCACTTCATCTTTATTGTTTATTCAATTATTTATGTCATAACAATATCTGACACAAGATGACTGAAGATGAATAGAAGCAAATTCCGTGGTGGTAGCGTGGTGGTGGTGTGGAGATTATTTCCTTTACAATACCATGAATAGAAGCTTCATTTATTTGTCGATGTAAAGAAAATGTTATTATAAACATTTATCCCGTGACTCAATGGGAAATGGGTGTAAAACTGGGACGAGATAGTGTTTATAAAGTTTTTTATAATACTTTTTAGAGGTAGAAGTACAGCAAAAACTCTTCATTTATATAGTAAAAGGAGTAAATATTGAAAAGTAGTGAATTGCACTACAATAAGTGTACTATTTGATTATTGTTTAACAATAAAATGGAAATCATTTTGTATTATTACACAATTATTATGTTACTTTTAACCGTCAGAGGTGGTACAGGTGTGTTTTGGACCAGAAGTCACGTGATGTGTATCATGATGTGGTAATGCCAGAGACCTGGCCCCCTCCCTGAGCTTCCTGTGAGACTGCTATCTTCATGACACTCGAGTCTTATTTTTAGCACTCGCAGTTACGCTAATTCCGGAGGCCATTTCCTGCCAGAATCATTTGACCCTGCGCGCCACTTCTGGCATGAAATCCAGCGCTGACGCTTCAACTCGTCTGCCCGCTGACTGCCCGTACACAATACGCTCACCGAGTTACCAAAATGGACTGCTCTGCAAGGGAAGATTATGTGCAATCGTTGAAAGATGATATATCTAACAAAACACGGGGAAAGTCGTAGGTGTTGAGGATGAGATGGTGAATTTGAAGATCGCTCGTCGGAAAGAAAATATGAAACAAGGTCAGAAACCAAACGAAGAGTTGTTTTGTCAACATTTCATCACGATCCAACTGCTGTCACTACAGCAAGAGATAAAACAACCCTGAGATGATTACGTTTTATAACGCAACAATATCTGTCAGTGACTTGAAAAGCTTTATGTAATCTACAGCGTCAAACCCTTAGGTAACTGGTCACAATTTATTCGGGTGGATGTATATCGCTGGCGTCAAGTTAATATTACATCATAGAAAAAAAAGTATTTCGACCGGGGGGTTCCGAAGCAGCATCTTGTCAGCGTGCGTCGATAGAAATCATTTCACGGAATTTGCGCTAAACAATTTTCGAATTCCTGAAGCGAGAAAAATAATTGTGAATTAAACGGTCATTTTTTTAGAGAGAGGCAGCTCCTGGCAACGAGAAAGTTGATAATAGTTCATTTAATAATATATATTAATTTCAGGGAGATGGATTTCCATGTATTTTACTTTCTCGCTATTGTAATGCTGCGCGAAAAAACGGCGAATTTTCGGCAGAAAAACTCTTATTACAGGGCCCTGGTAACGAAAAAGTGGATGAATCCAGTTGCTACATTTTTTTATAAAAAAATCCTCTAGTGTGTACAGAATCCATGTTGTTTTGGGTCCTTGATACCAAAAAATCGAATGATGGTAAAACGTGTCTGGCCGTCTGTGAACATCGGTAACGCCTAAACCGTGAGCCAATTTGTTCAAAAATTGATAATACCCAATCGATCTGGCAAAATGTCGCGGCCCCTTGATTTTGAAACTAATATTTTAATTTTGGGGTGTACTTTAAATGAAGTCCCTGTCACACTTTCAAGAAAATAGTTCAGTTTTTTATTAAATTTTGTTGATGGATAATGTGAAGGATGTTTAAGAGAATGGGGCAGGTCTCAAATCAAGTATGCTCTCAACTGTTATCATTCGATTTTTTTTCAATAAAATGGTATGTTAGAACAAATTTGAAAATAATAAGTAAAAGCAGTAAAGGAAGAAAACATTTTAATTGCAGCAAACAAAAAGGTTCTATGTCACATTTTGCCAATTTTGAATTAACAGTGGGAAACTTCTTGAAATATAAATTCAACTTTCCATGTATAAACGTTAATTGTCTGAAACTTCTGTGATGCCTGTAATGTCTTTCAACAAATAATATTCAGAAAAAATGTTCAATGTCCAGAACTTTCCTTTTTGCTTGCTCTTCAAAATTTGAAGTTCCTGGACATCAAAAGTTTTTGTTTTCTCTGATTCATTTTCAAAAGAATTATTGAAAACAAATATGCTCTATGGTGTATTTTCTACCTGTAATTTATCCAATAAATTAACTCTATTGTGTGTTTTCCTTTCTGCAATTTATCCAACAAAGTAAAAAGCTAATTTACTTACTATTTTATAAGTATTTTGAATGTTCTGTTTAATTTATACACACATTCCAAAACTGGTAGATTAGAGCTTATTCTCATCTTATTTTGAGTTTTTATCACCTTTTAATTTTCTAGGGCCACTTTAGGTGACTAATACCCAAATTTTTAGTACCTTAACATCTGTTGATTACACATGAAATATTTACTTTAGTATCACTTCCATTTTCAGGGTTGGTAAAATAATTTTCTTTTCATTTCTAAAATAATAACCCAATACCTCAGACCTAACCTTATTGGAGTTCAAGTACATTTTGTAATGGTAAATTCTTTATTAGGGTTGATGACAAAAAATAATGAAATTAGACCATAATTACATTATCTTGATCAGTTTATTGCAAATTAACACTTTAAAATACAAAACAAAAACAAGAATATGTAAGCAAAAAAGTAGTTTATTTAATGAAAATGCAGACTTCACAAAAACAGTTATTTGAATTTTGCGAGCAATATGTTTATATATGCACAAGAAAGCCTACAGAATATTTTGATAAGGGAATACTTTACGAAACTTAACAAGTCTACCAAACGACTACTTTTAAAAATTAATTAAAGAAATTAAAAATTAATTAAAGAAATTAAAAAGCCAAATTCATTTTTAATTTAACCTAATTCCTTTGTATCAACCTAGAGAAGCAAACATAATGCTTATACGATTTAATAAATTCTGAAGCAAATAAAAAAGAACAAGGAAGTAATTAAACAAATAGCAATTAAAGATGCTCATTAACTTTGATATTATCTTTGCAATAAACATGTGGATTCATTTGTCATATTTGAGGCAGTGATTACCAATCTTCTGGAGGAAATGAAACTAATTATTAGATCACTAAGAAATGCATCTGTCAGAAGAATTAAATTACACATTAGTAGGTTTCTCATCTGTTTGAGAGGGTTTGATTTTAGTTTGATCACTCTTCAATTTGGGTTTATCTATTTTCGTGCGTTCACTATCTGCATCTTACTGTGGTGTAGAGCAAGAGGCCTCTTTATTTGAAGATTAATATTTTTTCTTTGGCGAAGATGCTTTTGTCTTAGATGTTGAAGTAGTAACCTCACCCATTGATGATGAAATAATAGCCTTTTTCTTTGGTTCGTTAGCCTTCTTTCCATTCCTGAATTTATTTAGTTTAAGCTTCCGTTGATCAATTATTGGCACAGAAGCACCAAATCGACGCCGGTTTTCTGCCTTTCTTACGGCTGCTTTGAGAAGTTTCTTACTCATTCGACTAGCTTTCGTTACTTTGACGACTCTCCCAACTTTGCGAAATTTATCAATAGTCGGTGTCTTCTTGTCTTTACTTGTAGGTTCAGGTTTTGTTTCACCCTTTTTAGTTTCAGTCTTCGTTTTCTTCGCAGCTCTTTCTCTAATTATCTTTTTCAACGCTTCTTTCCTGATTTTTCTCTCTCTTTTCAAGATGCCCCGTGCAACTAAACGTTTTCTATACTTGTCGTAGATAAGCCTTTGTCGCTCACTTAGTTTATCTTTGCCACCTCTTTTCTTCACAGCACGTATTATCTTGTCCAGTCTTCTTTTCCGTTCGGCTAATGCAATTGATTTCTTGATTACACTAGCGTAAGGATTTAATCCAATCATAACTTTAAGGTTTGCTAATGGATTATGTTTCTTGACACGTCGTATTATTATCTTTCTTGGTCGTCTAAGCACTTTCATGATGGATTCAGATCTAAGAAGGCGTGTGAGATCAGTATTTACCATTTTAGGCATGGGTAGATTGTAATCTTTCTTTAAACGTGATGGTTTTTGCCATGAACCATATAATGCATCCAGTTGTTTGAAGGCTGATTTCGTCCATATAACAAATCTTCCCACATGTCCACCGGGAGCAAGCTTTAATAAATTTAATTGGTCAACTTTTATCAAGTCTACTCCAGGGATATTACGAAACGCCTTAGTCAAACCTTTGTCATTTTGATAGATGATCAGCGGACCGCATTTCTGAATTCGACGCCTATTGCGCATCTTCCCTTTACCAGCTCGAAAACGGCGTGATTTGCAGACTTTTTCGATATCGGCCCATGCTTTCAAACGGCGCAAAAATATAACTGCTTGTTTTGTTTTGGTGTATTCCTGCACTTTATCATCAACCACCAGTGGAATTTCGGGTACTTCTTCAATCATGTGACCTTTGGACATAATTAATGATGGGACACCTGTGGCAGCAATGGCAGATACTAAAGCATAACGTTTCTGGTTAATACTTATTTTACGATGCCAGCGGCGCCACGATTTCGTCGGTGCGAACATTCGACCACCGCGACACATATTACCAAATGCACCTTGTCCAGATCTGTGAGTCCCTCCGCCGCGCACTCGCGGAATGCGAGCAACTGCGCGGCCTGTTCCCCATGATTCCGCGCTTGTCTGGTGCCCAGCATCTTCATTCACACAATATGGTTGCCGGTGATTTTTAGCCATGTTATCATGAACAAAATTTACGACATCTGGCCTTATAGGCGCCTTGAATATACCTGGCAAGGGAACTGATTGCATCGTATCTTCATTTTTCTCACTATGAACAGTTATCAAAGGTCGCGTCATTGACAACATATTTCTTTTTACTTTAAGAAATTGCGATACTAGCAAGAAGAAAGTGAGCTAACTACGCGCACTTATTAATCAAAAATTAATACGATACTCGTACACATGCCACTAAGCACACAAACTGACATACTCATAACAACGTTGCATAGCAATAGTTTGAAAGTTGACTAACGACATCTGACACTGAACTCGAAGTTCAGAAACACGGTTTCCTCATGAGCTACCCACCGGAAACAATTTGCTTTCTCAGTGTTGCCAAATCATGACATTGACAACTTTTTCTTTCATCTTCTTACTTTACTTTCTATATGTTGAAGCAAAATTTTTTCGTTATTTTAAACTACAACATTACGCCTGGCAGACTTAACTGAAGTAATTTTTCTAAACCAGCCTAGTTCATGTGACGTAGCTGATTACCCTTAATGCACATTTTGAACAAGTGAAAACTCCCTTCCAATAATAGTTCATCTTAGAATAGTTTGCTGACCTTATTAAAACGTACAATAAAATATATATTTATATTTTTTAAATAAGTTATTCTTTTGACATTTGGGGTCTCTTTCATTAAATATAGACTCCATGTTTGACTGGATACCAGGTTTGGCCAGACGATGTTTACGACTTCACACTTAGACCAGTCTTTTAATAACATTGATTTTTTTTCTAAAATGCTAGCAGCTTTTTACTGATTACAAATCTGGACCACAGATTTTTTTAAAAGGCCCCAACTACATTAACATACGTCTTCAAATAATCGATCTTATTTTCAATTAAATGTTCACTTTCTTTGCTAATAGTTGCATTTAATAAATAATGTGTAATGATTTAACAAAATTTCGAACGATTTTGAATCAGTAAGACAATTTCAGTTAGCAACACTGCTTCCAACTATGATCCTTGATGATTTTGAGTATTTTTATCATTTTAAGAAATTAGGCCTATATTTTATTTGAGAAATGATTATTTTATTGGCATTCTATTCAAATACAGTACGACATTCCAATTTTTCAATTATTACATTGTTTTTCATTAAAAGGGCTTTTAATTTTTGTTATTTTTAATTGATAATAATTCTCATTAATATTGAAGTATCTTTATTCATGGAAAGAATAGTATATTTAAGTATTCTTCCCCTGCAATCCATCTAAATCAAAGTTTCAAATACTGAACCAGTTTCAGAATTGCAAAAGTAACTCAAACTTTCACAAAATATTCCGAAAAATTTACTTTAAGGTCAATTAAATTCAATCAAAGTGTCTTAAAAATTATGTACATCTTGTTGTAGTTATAAAAAGAAATAACAGCAATAAAACTATTATTTTAATTTGAATAAATAAATGCGAATTTAATAAAAATAAGTAAGCAAAACGTTAAATCCATTTATAATGCGTTAGATTGAACTTTGGGATTGACAGCAACCGAGTAAATGGTGCGCTGTTGCCAAACATACAAGCGCGCGATGTCTACTGATTTAGCAATAGTTTTTCACAACCGCATTTTAGCAACCAGTGGCGGCACCAATAATTAATGGAGAGGGTGTATCCAAAAATAGAAAATGAATTGAGATATAGTAGCGGTGTAGGACTATCGCGAGCATTTATCTCGCACTTCTGGAAGAGTCGAGCTTCTAAATTTCACAGTTTTTAAATATTGAACAGAATCACTATTCTTATCCAATTTAACACGAATTAGTGGTGCTAAAACCGCATGTACTCTCTCGCCCATATTTTTACGCAAAAGTACGCGAAAAGTACATGAAATTATTTCAAAATATATCTTAAAGGAACGGATTTCGGTAAGGAAAAAATCTCTATAAACAATATTTTAGTTTTAGGAAGACTCCTGAAAATTTTTGAACTTTTGCAATTTTTGAAAAACTAGGCTTATCAACAAAAACCAGACCAGCAACATTCTCATAAACGCCCTTTACACTATCTACTAATAAAATTTAATAAAAAATGATGGAGCCACTTAAAAAAAACAATTGAGAATATCCCAGGTGCTTCGATGCGAAGTACCCCCCAAAATTAAAATATCAGTTTCACATTCAACGCGGCCGCGACAACAACCAGATAAATTGGGGAATATCAATTTTGAAGAAAATCGGCCTTACGGTTTAGACGCTAGCGCTGTTCAAAGACGGTCAGATACGTTTTGAAGTCATTGGATTTTTCGGTTTTAAGGACCCACAAAATAAGGATTCTGGCTACATCACGTGATAGAGGATTTTTATTTCTAAATTTATCAACTGGCATTATCCACTTTTTCTTTACCAGGGACCTGTAATATGAGATTTTCGGCCGAGAAGTCCCTGCTGTTTCGCACAGCATTACATAACTTTCTCTGTATTCCGTAGCGAGAAAGTAAAAAAACATTCGATATACAGCACCTCAACTTCATCATACGTCCGACAGAGCTTTAAAAATCATGTAAACGTGCAAAACTAAGGATGATACTGCCAGCGACTGTCTTTCCTGCAGTCCCTGAAGTTCAAATATTGAGATACATAAACAGCAGGGGAAGCGAAAATAACTATGCCCACACTTCGCTACAAGCAGGAGGGACTGGCAGACCTAGGGAGGAAATGGAATTGCAGCAGCACACGGCGGAAGCTTTGCGCAAGTTACACACGAATCAGCAATGGGTTATATTAATCATGTAATTGAATGAAATACCATTTCGCATATTTTATTTTAATATCAAAGATAAATAAAATAATTCTGACAAGGATTGGGGGAGGGCTGCAGCATTTCAAAGAAACTTCTCGCAGAATACGAAAACAAATCATCAATTCCCCACCAGGATAACGAGACGCAACGAATGACACTTCATTCGTTTGGATTGCTGCTCGGGAAGTGGTATAACCGTGAGTGAGGCACACACACGCCCAAATATTATAAAAGGATTTTTTTCAAAATCAGAAAAAAGTAGATATTTTATAATATAAATTTGAAGATCTACGAAATGAAATGTAAAAATACATTTTTTTAAATTGTCCCAACACGATTTGGGGGGGCGGGGCGCAGTTGCCCCCCCCCCCCCAATCCCACCCCTGAATGTCGATATGGGTCTGTTAATGACTGAAAATACCTTTAACAAGTCTCACGGACACGTTTGACGAAAACACGGTCTGACGAGTCTCGTTTCACATTGTTTCGAGCAGATGGCCGTGTGCGAGTATGGCGACATCCTCGTAAATCCATGGAGGCAGCGTGTCAACAGGGACTGTTCAAGCTGGTTTATGCTCTATGATGGTATGGGGCGAGTGCAGGTGGAGTGATATTGGACCACTGATACGCCTAGATGCGACTCTTGACAGGTGACACGTACGTAAGCATCCAGACTGATTACTTCATTTATGTTCATTACGCATTCCGGCGGACTTGGGCAATTCCAACAGGACATTGTGAAAACCAACACGTCCAAAATTGCTATAGATTGGCTCCAGGTCACTCTTTTGAATTAAAAAACTTCCACTGGCCATCGCAATTCCAGACATTAATATTATTGATCGTATCTGGGATGCCGTGCAACGTTCTGTTAAAAAAGAGATCTCCACCTTCTCGTATACGAGTTATGGACAGCTCTGCAGGATTCATGAAATCAATTACCTCTAGCACTACTTCAGACATTAATCGAGTTCATGCCACGTGTTACGGCAATTCTGCGTGCTCGTGGGGGCCCTACACTATATTAGGTAGGTGTGCCAGTTTTTTAGTTGTTCAATGTATGATACTAGCAACCAGTAACATCTTTGCAACGTGAAGAGTCTCTGAAACAGGGACGGGCACTGCAGCAAGAACAACTATCTGGTTCTTCCTTGGGTAAGTCTTTTTTAACAAAAACACTTATTCGTAAAACAGGTCACAACGAATAGTAGAATTTTTAGCTTAATAAAGTTATGCTTACAGGAATCCCGTGGGTGGAGTTTGCTTATTATTGTTACAATTCTTCTCTGTAATATAAAAGTATGGGATCATTAGGATATGTTTCCCCAGAAAATTACACTCTTTCAGCTAGGAATGAACATCCTCGAAATATCGAGCAGTATGAAGGTTATCTGAATATGTGAAAATTCCCTACGAGTAGCTCAATGAACTTAATGCTGTCTTCAGTTCATTTAAATATGCGTTTCATTTAAAGTTTTACTGAAAAGATATACCCAAAAAGTTACCTTAACATCAGCCATCTTTCCAGACATCAAGTGTGACTAGAGAAAACAATTGCTTATTTGAAATGTAAAACTGCATTGAAACAATTTTGCCTTGGTTCACTATTAATTGTTTTTTACAAAACCAACATCCGATATTGCACTATTCTGTTTCTTTATTGCGAAGAACATTCGCATCATCAGCAAAGAGAACTATTCTTCCGTTTCGAATCGTTGACGGCAAAGAGATATACTCTCTGGCACAGAGTGCCCTGTCTCGAGGGCATATGGTGTATGTATAGTACACGGTGTAAGAAATATTATATATATATATATATATATATATATATATATATATATATATATATATATATATATACACACATACACATACATACCGTGGTATAGTAGGAAGAGAAAAAGGCCTAAAATGAAACCGTGCGGAACCTCATGCGCAATTGGCAATGAATCGGAAGGGGTAAATAATGTACCACCATTCAGGTACGGTAGACTTACCCTCTGAGATAATTATTTAAGGCATAGATATGCATTACTAAGACTGTACAGTAGTGGCAGAGAAAAGGCAAATACCTAGAGTACTTAGACCAGCAACTTCCTACATCGTAGCCAGTGTCTCCAGATTCCTCATGTTCCGCTTGTTCTTCCGCCTTTTTGAGATTCCATCCGCATTCCGCCCCAATAGCCAGAAATTCCGCAATTTTTCCTTGACGTTTTTCATCGCACGGCTGAAGTTGAGACTGAAATGACCTATCCTTATTCTAGTTATGACATGTTCTGTCCTCTTAAAAAAATTCTGGGGAGAATTGGGTCAAGAATGTATTTTCTGACTAAATGG